GCCGTGGGCGGTGGCGGCGGCGGCGGCGCCCGGTTCCAGCGAGGCCCCGCCCTCCTCGCCGGCGTTGATTGGTCACCCGCCCCCCCGCGCGCATGGCCACGCCCCCTCCTCCGGGGTGGAGCCGGCGCTGGTTGGTCAAAGAGCGAGGCGCATGCGCAAAGCTGCGACGTGAGGGCGGCGCGGCGGCCATGCTTGGTGCGGGCGGAGCGGGCGGGGCGCGGTCGCCATGGGAACGCGGGGGCCGCGCTCGCCCCGCCGCCCCCGGGAGGGACCCGCGGCCTTCGCGGCCCTGCTTGCGAAACGGGATCGCTTCCCCTTTCCTGGAGACGCCTTCCCTTTTCTGAGAACGGCCCCGACGCGGGGAAGCGGCGCTGCACGCCCCCTTCTCCCACAGAGGGATGTGCCCGAGGCGGGAGCGGCACCGGCATCCCCGTGGCGGGGAGGGAACGGGAACGGGAGAGCAAGAGCGTCCCGTGCACCTGGCAGGTACCTGAGGCCTCTCCCCGCAAAGGCAGGGGGAGGCAGAGCCCACCGGGGCTGAGTCCCCGTTCCCGGCACCCCGGCTCCAAGGGGAGAAGGAGCAGGAGCCGGGCAGTGAGGGCAACAGGGAGAAAAGAGGGGATCAGCGAGAGAAAACGGGACCGGGCAGTGAAAAGGGGGCCAGAGAATGAAAAAAGGAAGCAGGGAGAGAAAAGGAGATCAGGGAGAGAAAAGGGACCGGGGGAGAAAAGAGAACCACGGGGTCAAAAGGAGACAAGGGAGAGAAAAGGGAAGCAGGGAGTGAAAAGGGATCGGGAGAGAAAGGGGAGCAGGGAATCTAAAGGGAACCACGGAGTGACTTTGTCAGAGCTGGCACCACCAAACTTCTTAAAAAATTACAACATGGGCTTGAAAGTCAGTTGAGTTCTGTTTCTTTGCTGCCTTCAGATCCTCTTTTCATCTCCTCTCCGGGCGGAAGAACACATCCTTTTGCAAAAACCAGCCGTGGCTGGTAGCACAGGGGCTGCGACAGGAAACCAGGCAAAGGCAAACTGAGGGTTTGCCCACGTCACTTTGGGGAACACGAGCACCCCAAACTCAGCTCTGGAGGTTGGACAGCACAGCCTCAGCCTCTGGATCCAGCCTCCTCCAGGGAGATTTGCTTCCCCTGTGGCACCCACTTGCTGAGGAGCCAAATGGACAGCACAGCAGGAAGCAGCACTAAACACAACAAGGGAGCCCAGCATGGATTGGTTATAAAACTCTCTGCCTTCATTTTATTGCCTTTGGTAAAGCTTGGTAAATATTTCTGGGACAGGCAACTCCTTGTCTGGCTTTAATTACCTGGGCAAATTTTCCTAAGGATTATATTGACCTCAAATATGTCAACGTTTATTGAGGCCGTGTTCCTGAGGCTTTTCCCATTAGGTGCTAATGGATTCTGGCTAATAGTCAAGCCGGATTGACCACCAGCGGGTGCCCTGGCCAGATCCACGCTACCACAAGTACCTGGGGAGAGAGCTGGGGAGGGCAACACTGGCTCTGTGAGAGCCAAGTACAAAAATCACCATGGCTCTGATCCAAAGAGATCAGGGAACACGCTTGAGTAATTGCATTCCTGACTATCTGCTTCTCTGGGCATGATTCACTCCAAGCTGGGGCTGTGAGACTTCAAGCAAAGGTTGATTTTGCTTGGGACTGTTGTGGCTGTCTCACTTGGGACTCTTGGGAGGGTTTCACTTGGGACTCTTGGGACAGATGCAGGGACCCCACACCTTGGTGCTGCTGGGGGCTCCCAGCCACGCTTTTCCCACTTCTCCCTTGAGTGTTCACCTCCAAACCTGCCTGCAGCTGGCCAGCCCTGCTCCCTCCTGAGCTGTCAGCTCCCAAATGCTCTGGACAAGGACTTCTTGCAGCCCAGGTGCCTGCACTGAGCTCAGAGGACACAGAAGCAGGGACTCCAGCGTGGCGTTTCCGTTCGCGCTCGAGAAGGGGCCGAGGTAAAACCTCAGCCCGAGGTTTGTGGTTCTTGGCCACATGCAAAACTCTGTGCTCATTTTCACTCTCCCACGCTCAGCAGAGAGGTGAAATTTCCCCACTGGGATCCCCCTGTCCCCCTCCCCCAGCATTGTCACCACCCCGGCAGGGCAGGAACGGATGCCCCTGGTGTGTCACCTGCAAGGGGAACCCTCAGGATGCTCCTGATGTGTCACCTGCAAGGGAAACCCTCAGGAACAACCTTTGCCCTGGAGCACAAGGGATGCCTGCAGGAGTTTTGCTCTCAAATTCCTGGAGGTACAGTGCCCAGGGGCTCTCAGGATGGCTCTCAGCCCCCACCTGGAGAGCTTCCCACATCCACTGCCCAACTCCAGGCTTGGGAAGAGAGGATGGATCTGGCCCTGGGATGTGCTGCCAAGTCTCAGTGCTGTCCACAACATCACCCACACAAACAGCAGTGTGGATTTGTCCTTTAATCACCCCAAAAGGGTGGTGCAGGAACAGGGTGGTGCTGGGTGGTGGACACTCTCTGCCCACAGGTTCAGGGAGAGGATGAGAGGAGAAGCACAGGAGAGATGTCCATGCACGTGCAGATCTGAGCCAACCCTCAAGTCCCCTGGGTCGTGGTGCAGAGGGCAGCGCCTCAGCTCTCCTGGGAACTCCCAGAGCCTGGAGCTGGGCAAGGGCTTCAGTGCAATGTCCTGAGGAATCCCTGGAGGTAGCTGGGCAGGCAAAGACACAGGTCTGTGGTCAGGTTATGAGAAGCTGCCACTGTGGTTGATAAAAGCTCTGAGTCAGCCTGGGTGAGCAGAGACGAGTCCCTGGGAGTGTCATGCTGTGAGCCAGGCATGAGACACAGGAGCTGCTTGTGCAGGGTCCATGCTGAGCAGTGCTGAGGCCCGAGGGGCTGGCCGTGGCCTGGGTGGAGGTGCTGTGTGGGAGAGCCTGTCCTGAGGCTCCTGGGCTGTTAGAATGCCTGGCACAGCTTTGTGTGCTCCTCCTGGCGCTGGCTCTGCGGGGACACAGGTTGGAGAGGTCTTTCTGCCAGGGGACCACACAGCCTCCTGCTGGCAGCAGCACAGGTGCCAGGAAATGTTAGGATGGGATGAATAGGAGGGTGGAAGCACTCAGAGCACGGCCAGGCTGTGAGCACTGCCCTGAGGAGTTACCTGTATGATCTCTATACTGTTGGCAGCTGCCATCAGCCAGGACACAGGCCCCTTGGGTGCCACCTCAACGTCACAGAGTGCAGGAGAGCCACTGCGAGAGGGCAGCGAGGGCGTGCAGGAGCCTGAGGCGGCGTCACTGTCCTCAAAGAACTGCAGGGGGGACAGCCCGATCTGGAAGAGCACAAGAGGGATGGACACACAGCCCCCGTGGAGGACACCCATCCCACCATGCAGCCCCAGAGCACCCCAGGGCTCCCCAGGCAGAGCAGGAACGTACCGAGTGGTAGAACTCATCCCCAGCGGGGTCGATGACCAGCAGCGTCACCTGGTCCTCCCGGGCGCGGATCCTGTGCACGGTCTGCTCGTGGTCCAGCCCCTCGATGCTCTCCCCGTTCACGGCCAGCACTCGGTCCCCTTCCTTCATCCCTGCCTGCTCGGCCGGCAGCCCCACATCCACTTCCCACAGGAACTGGCCTGCCACAGCGGGGCACAGGGAGGGGGCAAAGGCTCACAGAGGGGAACTGGATCTCCTGACCCCCGTGTGCAGGTGGGGACAGGGTTCCATTGCAGGCACAGAGCTGTCAGCTCTTCCCAACTCCCAGAATTGCTCAGGTACAAACTGCCCCTCTCAGCCCCCTCACCTACTCCTCCCGAGCTGCAGTCATCCTCCTTGAGCAGGAACCCGTAGCCAGCGGGACCCTTCACCAGGTGCAGCTCGCGGACCTTGAAGGGGAGCCTGGAGGTGTCTGCCAAGGCAGCCGTGACCCGCAGGCCCCGCAGGCGATAGAACTCCTCCACGGCGCTGGATGCCACCAGCAGTGTCACCTTGTTGCCGCTCTGCTTAAGCTGGATGGGAAGCACAGGTGCTCAGTGACATTCTCAGCCCCATCCCTCGCCCTGCCATGGCAGGAGCAGGCACCTTTTTGGTGAGCTGTGTGTGGGAGTAGCTCTTGACGCTGTCCCCGTTCAGCTCCAGCAGCCAGCAGCCTGGTGGCACCCCTGCTCTGTCTGCTGGCCCGTCCTGCAGCACCGACAGCTGGAAGGTGCCCTTGGTGCCTGCAGGAGGAGCAGAAGGGGCACTTTGGGGTGAGTGAGGTGCTACAACGGGGAGGCTCGTGGTGGCAGCATCCTGCTTTACCTTCTGGACATGACACGCTGAAGCCAAAGCCGCTTTTGTCCCTCGTGACGTGGCAGAGGCGCGGGCGGATGTCATCCGGCAGCATCTGGGACAGGTCCCTGCCCAGGGATTTGGCTGCTTCGTAGGAGTCACCGTCCAGCACCGCCAGCAGGACCTGGTTCCCGCTGGCCTTGATCTTCTGCACCACCTGGAAGGACCCAGGCTGTGAACTCTGGGCAGACACCCTCTGATGGGGTGGGATCAGGGTCCCTGGTGTCATTCATCCTCTGTGCCCCTGGCTGGGGAGCACCCAGGCGTTCCCACGGGATGCTCCCAGCTTACCCTGAGGTGGTCCATGTGGTCCACGAAGTGGCCATTGACCTGGAGCAGCCTGTCCCCGTCCTGCAGCCCCCTGCGCTGGGCCACCCCCCCCAGCTCAATCTGCCGGATGACGTGGCCCTGGCAGCCCAGCTCCTCGTGCAGGCAGAAGCCGAAGGTCTCTGTGCTCTCCTTGGTCAGGAGGTAGAAGCGGGGCTCCCCCATGCCCTCACCATCTGTGTGGGGGCACAGCCCGTGAGCAGGGCCCTGCAGGGATCCTCACACAAGTTGTGCAGCCCATCCTGAGCTGGGGATCTGCTCATCCCTCTGTGTTTGCCTCCCACAGGTCCCCAGTGGGAGAGAGCTCAGGACCCCAGCAGTGCCACAGCCCCGTGCAGACACAGGGACACCCTGCCAGATGAGGGCGTGTATTTACCCGTGTCCTCAGTCAGTGTCAAGGCTGGGTTGTCGATCCCAACTTTGGGGTTAAATTCAAATTTTCTGAAATGATAAAGGGCAGGAGAGGCCACGTTAGTGCAGGATGGCCCTGCCTCTGCCTCCCCCAGTCTTGAGGAGCTTGTTCCTCCCAGAAAGGGCCAAGTGGGGGCTGTGCCTCCTTTTCCTTTGGGAAAGCCAGAGGGGATTTCCCTCTTGGACCATTTCCCACATCTCTCCTGAGCCCCAGAAAGCCCCTGGTCAGGGGGAGATCAGCACTTACATGATGGACATCTTGTCTCCCTCGAGCCCTGCAGAGGGAGAGGAGAGGTCAGCACAGGAGGTGGTGGGCTGGGAGCAGACCCCACGCTCTGGAGCACTCAGGGCTTGTCCACTCACAGGCTGAGCCTGCCATCCAGGTGAGGGGGTTTGCCAAGCCCACACAGCCCCCAAGCCCCTCTGTCTCTCAGCACAGGTTGTTCCTTGGCCCTGTCACCACTGTCCTCCTGCATTCCCAGCAGCAGGACCTGCTGCTCAGGTCCCGTGGGCGCTCACTGTGGGGGCAAAGCAGGGCCAAGCAGATGGGGTCAGTCCTGGGGGTTTACAGAGCTCTTCAGTGAGGGCTGAGAAGGTTCACCAGGACCCCAGAGAGCTGCTGGAGCCAGGAGAAGGAAACAGAGACCTTCCCCAGCACACACCCCCCCATAAAACCCCTCCACGTCTCTTTGGGCACAAGGAACCCCAAACCCAGGGAGAGGGGATGCCTTCCCAGCATCCCCACAAGGAGACATTTTCCTGCATGCCTCTGGCTCCTTCCACAGGCTGCCTGGGCTCTGACATTGTCTTGCTCCACCTGGCAGCAGGGCCTGTGTGTGTGGGGAAGGGTCTCCAGAGGATTTCCCGGCACATACCTTTTGTTTGCTTCATGGCTGCTGGGATTGCCAGAGGGAGCAAGGTACAGGGTGAAGTGGCAGGGAAGTGTCCCCGCCTCCCCCAAGACGCCCCAGGTTTAATGGTTAAACAGCTCCAAGTCTGGACTGCCCTCCCAGCCCCAGGGCACTGCCAGCCGGAGCTGGGAGCAGGGACCAGCACCCCGGGACACCCAGCTTGGGGACAGCTCCTGGTGGCTTCCTGGGGGACACACAGTGCAGGGAGAATGACTGGTTCAGCACTGGAGCAGAGGTGGGCTGCTCCATGCCAGTGCTGTGAGATGGGGAAAGGCAGAACCCTCCACTCCAGCTGCTGGAGGGGCGGCTCCACATTCCCCCAGGAAGGGGCCGAAGAGGAGATCAAGTCTTGGTACTAGTGTGCTTCAGTGGAAATGAAGAGGTGAACTTTAATCCTCCCAAAAGATTCACAGACAAGCCCCAGTCCTGCTCCCTGCCACTGCTCTGGCTGGGGTGCAGGCGCTGGCTTTCCACAAGCCCAGAAGAACAAGTCCCATTTGCTCCTGGCCTGGTTTCTGTCCCATTCCCACACTTCAGCCTCACCTGCAGATGAGGCTGAGCCCCACACACCCAGCACCTTTGACAGCACCATCCACCCAGCATCTCCAGGTGGGTAAAGGTGCAGGGAATGTGCTGCTGGGCACACTCCACTGCCCCACCCTGGCTGGTGGATGGGCAGCAGGTTAGAGGCTCCCATCCTGCAGTTTCCCCAGCATTTTCTTGACCTCGCTCTCGACTCGCAGGAATTTGGCTTTCCTCCAAGGATTGGCAGTCTGGCTGCGGCTGCTCTCCAGGTCCTGCAGGAGGAGGGCGAGGTGCTGCCGGACCCGCTCGCGGTCCCAGAAGGGCAGGTTCCTCTGCACCACGCTCAGGATGTGGGACCAGTAATCGGAGACATCGGTGCCCGCCGTGAGGAAAACCAGAGCCCTGACGCCATCCCGGTCCATGCGCAGGCTGTCAAGCGCCCTCTTGCCATCCTCACTGATGTCGTTGAAGTAGAGGCTGGGAAAGCAGCAGGAGACCCTGGTGAGGGCTGAGGGGAAGGACAGAGGCACGCAGGGCGGGGCAGAAGGGCAGGGATGTGGCAGAGCAGACTCACTGCACTTTGTCCAGCGTCTCGTGCCTCTTGGCCACCTCCACCACGCGCAGGGCCGCCGTGTCCGTCAGGGAGTTGTAGCCCAGGTTGAGCTCCTGCAGGTGCTGGTTCTGGGCCAGCTGCTGGGCGATGGCCTCGGCGCCGGGGTCCCCCAGCGCGGTGTGCAGCAGGGACAGCTGCGTCAGCGAGCGGTTGCCGGCCAGCGCCTCGGCCAGGTAGCGAGCACCCTGCTCGCCCACGGGGTTGTTGGCCAGCCTGTGGGACACGGGAGCTCAGGGAGTGCCCAGGCACGTCGGGGGCAGCAGTGGCAGCGTCATGCAGGGCGGGGGCCGTACTCACCGCAGTCTGCTCACCACACACTTGTCATGCAGGAGCAGGTCACGAATTTCCTTGCAGGCGTCGGAGCCCAGGCTGTTGAGCTGCAGACTGGTGCAGAGCAAGACACGGGGGTGACAGGAACAAAATGGCTGTTACCTGTGAGCCTGGCAGCCCTGCCCGCTCCATTTTGCCCATCACCATCCTCCCTGGGCTCCCCAAACTAGGCCACTCCAGGTTTCCTCTCCCAAAGGGAGCACAGTGACACCGCACCGGAGCATGAGCCAGCAGAGCCAGTGCCAGCAGGAGCAGGGCAAGGGGAAGGGGATGGTGGAGTCTTCAGGAGGTGGGTGAAGGTCAGAGGAGGGATCAGGGCTCCATCAAGCCCTCCTGAGCATCTGGAGGAAGGAAGTGCGGCACAGCCCAGCTGCACAGCCCGATCCATCTGTGCTGAGCACGTCTCGCCACCACCTGGGCGGCAGGAAGACCTGCAGCTCCACAAACGTTCTGGAACGCTTGTGGGAACATCTGCACAGCCCAGACTCCCACCTCTGGGACAGCAAACTCCTCACAGAGCTAACGACACGGGGATGCCGGGTAACTTCCCCTAGGGACTCGGGTCTGCCAGGACAGCTGGCAGCCCGCCCAGCCTGTACTAGCTGCAGGGAACTTCCCAAAAATTCCTGCAGGAGGGTCAGCTGGGACTGCAAATCCCAGCATGCAGTGCCCTAGAAAGGCTGCTCAAGGAGTGTTGCATGTTGGAAGCTGTAGTTCCCTAGGTCTGCACTGAGGATAAACATGCCCTTTCCTAAGTTTTCCATACTTGGGCTCCTAAACCATCCCTGTGATGGGCAGAGGTGAGAAAAACCACCATTTTTGAGCAGTGAGGAGGTGGTACTCACTGGAGAGCTTTGCATCGCAGCAGGACAGGGAAGAGGGTCCTCAAGCTGCCGCTGTCCAGGTTGCAGGAGGTCAGGTTCAGCTCCTCCACCTCGTGACACGTGGTGCTCATGACAGACGCCAGCACAGAGCACTTGAGAGGGGTCATCTTGACGGAGGAGAGGTTGACAGCGCGGAGGGAGCGGATGGCCTCGGCCGTGAAGCGCTCGTTCTGGAACTCGTGCAGGAAGAACAGATAGTCCATGAGCTCCGAGGGGGGCAGGCCCCTGCGGCCCTTCCTGATCACCGTCTTCTTCATGGCCTTGGCGATCTCAAAAGCTGCCAGGTTCTTGATGGAGCAGCCCAGCTGCTCCAGGATGGCGCGGTTGCGGCGGGAGAGGATCCCACCCATGAAAATGGGGAAGAGCTCGAAGACCTCATCATCCGGGGCCTCATCGGGGTGGCGCATGGGGCCCTCCACGCCCAGGATGCTGGAGTTGATCTGGTCCAAGACATCGTCATTGTAGTAATCCTCCTCTTTGAACAGCTCCTCTGCCATGGTGTGGGCAATGGTGTCCCTGTCCTTGCCGCCCACCCGGGAGAAATAGCGAGGGAAGATCTTGAGCAGGTTGAAGAGCACGGGGAGGAAGCGCAGGGGCAGCACCTTGGAGATGATGTTCACAACCACAGCCACATCTTCGCTCACCTTCCCGAGGACCTCTGACAGCTCCTTCCCCACTCTCTGGGCCAGGGTCTTCTTCTCGCCCAGCACCACGTACAGGGCTGCCAGGTACTCCTGCATGGCGGGGATGGTGAAGACAAAGGTGTGCTCCTTGCCCGGCTGCACGCACGGGCTGAGGAAGAAGCGGAAGACGTCGCTGCGGAAAACCTCCAGGAGGTTGAGCTCGCTTTCAGTCTTCATCTCCACCTCGAAACACTCCCGCAGGTCTTCCTCTGAGAAGCAGGTCTTGCGGGACATCACCCCCTCGTAGGCCAGCTTGCCCACTGTCTTGGCCACGTACTTCATCATGGAGATGTGGGTGGGGTCGGTGCTGTCCAGCACCTCCCCGCTGAAGTTGAGCCTCAGGAAGCTGGTGTAGATGCCAGTGAGGGTCTGGCTGGGAGGAACCGTCCTGGTGAAGTAGAGGAAGTGCAGGGTGGTGCACACCAGCCAGCAGTAGGAGGGCAAGAAGCAGGCAGCCGTTATTTGGTTGTGGCGCTCCAAGTTCCTCGACAGCATCTCCACCAGGTTCTCCTGCTCCACTGAGCGGCGGTCCTGGCTTTCCTCCCCGGAGCAGCCAGGCTGGCTGAGGCGCATCTGGAAGTAGAGCTTCTGCAGGTTGGTGTCGGAGAAGCCGCAGATCTCGGCGTAGCGCCCCACGTACTTGCCGGGGATGCGGCGCACGGCCGACGGGCGCGTGGTGACGATGATGCTGGCCTGGGGACACAGGGGGGGAAGAGTCTGGGGCTGCTCAGCAGGGTGCAACCCACGGAGAGGTGCACAGTGATCACCCCGTCCACAGGGTGGGGTTCACAAGGTGCTGCACAAAGGGCGCTGGATCAAACCTGGCCCAGGCAGAGGGGACAGAAGAACTTTCCCCATTTCCTCCTAGACATAAAGTCTGGAAGATCACAGCCTTCATTACCTTACCAGGCCTCCTAGACATAAATAAATTTGGAAGATCACAGCCTTCATCACCTTACCAGGCCCCCCTCAAAGATCCCACCACTGACATGAGGCCACCTTAGCAAGTCCCTCCAGGAAGAGAGGCTGCCTGCTTGCTCCCAGCCAAGCTGGACTGCAAACAATGATCACAACAGCCCTGTGCTGCCTCAGGGCTCACCCCCAACCTTCTCCCAACACAAAGCAGGGCAACACCGACCTCGGGCAGGAGGTATTTCCGCAGCAGGTTGACCACGATGGCAGAGGGAGGCACGGGCTCGTTGGGGTCACAGCACAGCTCCGTGCCAGCCAGGCGGAAATCCAGGTTGAGGCGCTCCAGGCCGTTGAGGATGAAGAGCACCCTGAGGTTGGAAGCTTCCAGCAGGGGCACCACGTCCCGGAGGTGCTGGTACTTCTTGGTGATGAGGCGCCGCAGGGACACGTGGGCGTGGCTGTGGGACAGGTCCTCGCAGGAGAAGGGGATGACCAGCTGGAAGTGGGGCAGGCGGCCGTGGCACCAGTCCACCACCATCTTCTTGATGAGGGTGCTCTTGCCCGTGCCCACGGTGCCGTAGAGCACCACGTTCTTCACCTGCCGCCCGCAGGCGTCCACGTCAAAGAGGTTGTGGAGGCTGATAACCTTTCTACAGGGCTGCTGGAGCTGGTTCTGGATGGTTAAATCAGGGGAGGGCTTCAGAACCTCCTCCAGGGAGCTCTCCCGGATCACTGGGTCCACGTGGACGGCATCCAGAGAGAAGGAAGGGCCAAACTGCCTCTCCTCATTGGGCTGGTGGCTGAACCACGCAGACAGGCTCTTCTGGTGCTTCTTGATGGCACCTGGAAGGAGGAAGATGCTGGACATGACAAGGGCTGCTCACTGGCAGGGCACTGGGGAAGTTGCCTGCCCCAAGCCATTGCAGAGAGGGGACAGCACCCATTTATGGGGAACCCTCACACTGCCCAGGACAGCAGCTGCCCCCACCCCACTGTGTAGGACCCTCCCTCCAGACCAGAGCTGCAAACTCACCAGCAAAAGCCACGTTCCTCAGCTGGGACTGACCATGGCGAGAGGAGCTGGGCTGGGCAGAGCTGTCCAGAGAGTCTCCCTGGTAGTGAACACAGCCCCTGCAGGAGGAGGGAGAGTGTCACAGGGAGCAGCTCCAAACCCTGCCTGGGCAGGGCGGGCAGATCACCAGCAAGGCTGTGGGAAGTGCTGAGAGGAGC